GCTCAGGGAGGTTATTATGCCTTTAGCCAGTTAGTCACAGAAAAGCTCGCGCCTTGTTATTCCCCGGGGCCTCCAAAGATTTCTTTAGTTTTTAATAAAGCTGCACCGTCCTGGACAGTGAACACCTGCATGCGTCTGTCCAGCCTGAGCAACCTCGTTAACCAGCCCTGTTTCCTTCCTCCCACCAGACGCGCCCACATCCTGCGCTCACGCTCATCCTTCCCCTGTGGGCCTTAGAACTTTTGCTGTGTTGCTGTGTTTCTCAGTCGTGCATGGTGTTGTTTTGCACGTTGCATAACTGGGGCATATTATGGATAAGCATCCTTTTGCATCTTTTTATGTTTGGAAATTGAGGTCATCTGCCCCTGTGTCTATAGTTCTGGTCTGTGCGTTTTCACTGCCAAAGGGTCATCGGTGGGTGGATATACCAGGGTTTTCTGCTCTCTCCTTGATGGACCCTGGGTTGTTTTCAGTTTCTGCTTTTATACACAATGCTGCCATGATATGTTCTTGTGTTCTCTGGTAACTTTGGAATTTGGATTTAAAAAGATTATTCCAAGATCTGTGGCAGCCTCGGGCAAGCCGTCCTACCGTGGGGCTCATGATCTCTGCTCCCACCCCAGCTTGTGTCCAGAGAGTCTGGACCAATCTGGTGTCTGGTCTGGAACCAGAGCAGAGTGCTGACAGGCTGAGAAGTCTAAACCAGTGTTTCCCAAACTCTGTTCTCTCTGGGACCATTAATAGGTATTAAAGAGGCAAAGTGGTTCTGCCATCCAACAAGTTTAAGAAATAAAGAGTTTAAACTTAAAAAAAGGAACTCTATGGAATATAATATTTAGTATGCTGACAAATACTTGTGAACATCCAAAGAGGGACTGTGGAGGGCAGCAGTTGGATATATCTGTGGAAACCTTTCAGGATGGGAGCATCCTACAGGACAAATTTTCCTGCTTTCACAGACTTTGAGAAACAGGGGTCTGAATCGTTGGCTGTGGGTGGGGAAAGGGTGCATCTGCAGTGAAGAGAGGGGTTGTTTTTGTTTTTGTTTTGTGGGGGCTGGCAAGGAAAAAACTTTTCCTCTATCCTCTTAGGTTCAGGACTTGGGGGTCTACAAATTAAACTGGCAGGAGCCCCCCCCCCCCCAAATTGAACTGTCAAGAGCCATAGTAGTGAGAGAAAAGACAGCTTTAATCATATACATATGGGAGTTTACAGAAAAATGTGACTCAAAGGGGCAGTTAGAATTTGAAGCTTATATGCTATCAGGGGAGGGGGCGAAGAGCACTTACTGGAAAACAAATGACTTTTTGGAAAGATAAGTGGCCCTCAGGAGAACAGATGGGAGGGAGATAGTTTTGTGGACGTCTGTTTAGGTGTGGTGTGAAGACTTCTCATCTGTGATAAAGTCAGTCTTGCCTGGTTGCCCAGAGCAGGGGATTGATGACAATAGAGTCCTTCTGGGAAGTTCTGCTTTTAGACAGATAAGAGATTCCAGGAGCTCAAATGGCTTCTCAGAATCACTTTTACACCACAGGGATGTACTCTGGACCCCTTCCGAGGCCTCCTTTTTTCTTGTTCTTTTTCAAGTCCCAGCCAGGCAGCGGGCAGCGTGGAGACACTTAATGAAAAGCCTGAGCCCTGCCCGTTGAATGGCCTTTTCTGACAGTTGAAGGAGGATGGTCCCCGCCCCCCGCAGCACCCCACTCATCCCACGCGTTCCTCTTGGGTACATTCGGCTCAGAATGCTCTTGCCATAGGTCCCGGGATCTCGCCAGATCCCAGACGTGTGTGTGTGTATCTGTCAGTCCCACGCAGTGTGTGTGTGTTTTTTTTAAGATTTTATTGGGGGGGGGGGGCACAAGCCAGAGGAGGGGCAGAGGGAGAGGGAGAAGCAGGCTCCCTGATCAGCAGGGAGCCGTATGTGGGGTCAGATCCCAGGACCCTGAGCCAAAGGCAGACTCTTCATCGACCGAGCCACCCAGCGCGCCCACAAGGTGCTTTCCAACCAGGAATGCAATACGCGGTAGAGTTCCCTAAGAAGTTTTCAAAAAATACGAACCCCTGGATTAGTGAAATCGGAAAGGCCAGGGTGGGGCCCAGGGCTCTGTATTTCTTGGAAGTTCCCCAGTAGAATAGCAATGGGCTGCTAGGATTGAGAACCTGTTTCCGGAAGCCAAACACCCGGGGGGTCAGAGCCGCGGGCCCCCCTCTCACTACCAAGTCCTGTCCTGTGTTGTTTGACTCAGAATCCCACCATCTTAGCTGCCCGGCTTTTGGTTTTGGTCCTTGTTTCGGTGAAGGGAGGGCGAGGCCTCTGCACCGCACCTAAAGCCAACCTGGAGCGCCCCCACCTGGCGGTCCTCCCTCCTGACACCCCGGAGAGAGCATGCAGGAGACACCTCAGTGTTCATGAATAGTCTTTGAAATCCGCACAGGGTTCGGGTTGTCCTGTGGCTGGGCATCTAGGATTCCGGCTGGGTGTCAGCGGGGAGCTTGCAGCCCCGGGGCTCGCGGGTTCCCGAGGGAGGGTGGGGTGGGTGGGGTGGGTGCGGTTGGAAGTGTGCCTGGGGCTTCTCTGATCCTCCTGAGTGGCCATCATGCCCTCGGGAGAACAGAGCTGGCTGCCAACGAGGAGCACGATTTTCTAAAGTTAAGATATCATCACATAATTTCTAAGACACCCTGTTGACATGATAGCTCTTGAAGAGGAGAAAGAAATGTGTATTAAGGTGCCCTGGAGGGGAAGAGGCAACCTGACAGTGGAGGTGGGAGGCCCACACTTCTTAGAAAGGAGGAAATGGGGCCTTCCTGCTGCTGTCCTCCACAAACACGTATCTGCTGCCTAGGAGACGAGGAGGGGGGGTGAGTAAGTCCCTCTGGCAAGTGCTCCAGATCAGGGTGTGACTCTGGAAACAGTAGGGTGGTCGCATCTGAGGGAGGGCGTCTGGAGGGCTCCCTGGAGGCGGTGACTTTTAACAGGGGTGGGGATTTTAGGGGTTTGGGAGACTGCAAGCCCTGGAGAAGACAGTGTGCTTTGAGCGGTGGCTGAGCTGGGAAGGCCGTCTCTGGGGTGGCTCTGGGGATGGAGAGGAGACCCTGGTGTGCTGTGGGACGAGGAGAGGCTGGTGCCCCGAGCAGCGCCTTTCCAGAAGGAGGGGCGGTTCATCTGTGTCACATGGTGGCCCAGGCCAGCCTGGTGGAGCTGGATGTTGGCGCTGAGTGTTTTCTCAAGAGAGCGGTTTTAATGGTGAGATGGGCAGACGCCAGACAGCAGAGGTTAAGACGCGAGCAGGTGGTAGGAGGATAGAACCACAGTGCAGACCAACTGTTAAGAGGTGGAGAGAACATCAACGGTTGGAGGACGTCGCTGGGTCCTTTGAGATTGGGAGCAGCCTGACTGTTGTCCTCTGTCAAGTTGCAAAGGAACCCGAAGAAAGATGTCAACCAGATATGACCAAACCACCAGCCCGCTAAGCATTGCTCTGTGGCAAGGGACTTTGCAGGTCCCCACCCCCCAGGCTTGCCTGAGCCCTCACTCTGGGGCCACTGGGAGTCCCTCCAGGGACAGTAGGGCCGGGTGCGGGATCCCCTCCCCCCGGGGGTGTGTGGCTGCACATGCTGGCTGCCCACATCAGCGGCGCCCCACACTGCTGCTGACCCGCCAGCCTTCCTCTGCCCCTGTGTGCAGGCCAGCCCAGCGACCCACCTGCAGAGCAAAGGGAAGGGTGTTTTTTCTTGGCCTTTGATGGCAAGTATCTGCTGCATCCCATGGGAGTTTGCCCAGCGTGTGTTGGAAAAGAGGTCGTGGGAGGGCTGAGTGTCGTGTTTACAACGAGGCTTCGGGCTTGGCAGGAGAAAGTGGGGGGCCTGGGCACTGGGGCTTGCGTGCATGAATGTGTGTGAGAGGGGGAGGGGAGGGAGGATGCCTTGTGACCACTTCCTTTCCCTTCTGCTGCTGCCGTGGGCCAGAGGGCGGGTCTTGGGCATCACGTGGGCGTCCCTGCACGGTGGGGTGCGTGACACCCCCAGACTGTGCTTTTCTCCTAACTGGCCCATTTGGAGGTGGGAGCCTGCCCCAACTGCCCCCCTGCAGCTTTCAGAGTAGGACCCTGCTGCAGGACAGCTGACCGGGGCTGCCACCTCCCTGATGACCATTCTGGTGGGGGTCCCCCAGGAAGGGCAGTGGGTGCTGCTCACGAGCAGGTGGAAATGGCCCACGGCAGGCCTCCTTGTCAGGCAGGGACACCATGGCACCCTCTCCCCTCCCTCACACGGCAGCCTGGTGTCCAGCGAGGGGGCCAGAGTTTCCCAGAAGTGACAGCCTTGGAAAATCCGACCTGGACCCCCCTCCAAAGGGCTGGGAGGGATCCTGTTCGTGCTTCTGGGCTGCCTTGGCCTGGAGCAAGTTTCCTTCTAGCTTTGAGTGTTTCTTTCCACATTTGTAGGAGGAAGCTCCTACCTTACTCTGGGTCAGGTCAGGATTGCAGGGCTGTGTAAAGGGTCCTGGGGCCGCTGTGACAAAGTACTACAAATTACCATGGCCTCATGCAACAGAAAAGCCTACTCTCCTACAGTTCTAGAAGCCCTGGGTCTAGGGTCAGGGTCACCGGGGTATGGCAAGGTGTGGGCAGGGCTGGTTCCTTCCGGAGGCCCCAAGGGAGAATCTGTCCTTGTGCCTCCTCCAGCTTCTGGTGGCTGCTGGCGGTCCTTGGCTTGTGGCCACAGCACCCCCGTCCCTGCCCCCATCGTCATGTGGTCACCTTCTCTATAGTCTTCAACTTTCCCAGAGGACACCTGTGACGAGATAGGGACCCCGGACACCGCAGGATAGTCTCTGCATCTCGAATTCCTCCTGCCATATCAGGGGACCTTCCCAGGCTCCAGGCCGGGGGTGTTGCTCCATCTGCCCCAGCACGCTTTGTCTTGGGGCCCTTGTGGTCTCCAGGTAGGAAACAACCACAACAAACCAGCTCAAGAGAAAAAAGGATGCATTAGACTCCTTTTCCTATAAATATATATTTTATGGTATCAGATACCCAGAACATGAAATTTACTGTCAGTAGCACTTAGCACATTCACAGGGTTGGGCAACATTCCCATCCCCTCAAAAGGAAACCCCATGTCTGTTAAGCGGTCAGTTCCCACCCCCCTCCCACCCTGGTCTTGGCAACCCCCAATCTGCTTTCTGTCTTTATAGACTCTTTTCTAATCAGTGTGGCTCTGTGTGACTTTGAAGTCAGTAAACAGAGGCAGGACGAGCTGGTTATTGGAAGGACGTAAGGCACAACGAAGTCGGAGTGTGGAATGGCCGGGCTCAGAAAGGGCAGGGTTTGCAAGAGCTCAGCTGGCCCACGGCCTATTCTCCCTTGCTCCTTTCTTGGGATCTCCGCCTGCGCTTCCCCCCTACTCTGGCATCTCTCCCTTTGCAAATGGCCCCAGACAACTTCCCAGCCCAGAAGTCTACATGACCTCAAGCTTCTGGACCCTCGACCAGAAAGGCTCCTTGGTCTGGGCTGCTGTGGGTGGTGGGCGGGCGGGGGGCGGGGATCTCCAGCGGCCCAGCTCATCACCTGTTTGAGCCAGGCGTTGAGGTCGGGTCGCTGGTCAGCCTGTGGCTGGCTGCCTTCGAGTCAGGAGTTCGCCCGGGCCGGAGCACCTGTGAGCCGGATAGGATAGAGAACCCCAGAAACGGGTGGTGATCTCACTGATGCTTAGCACAAATCTAGCAAAGTAACTTCTCTGGAGAAGTTCTGCTCTTTCTGATAGTAGAATCTGGGAGAAATATCCCCAGCACATCCCAGAAGGGGGACGCTGTGATGTAGGGATCAGTGGCCTCAGCCATATAGGGGATACCACTGTGGGTTCCATGGAGCTGTATCCTGTAGCACCCCAACTGTGGCTGGGCATCCACCGCTTGAGAACGAAGCATAGTGCTGAAACATTGTGGTCCGAATAAACAGCTCGCCAAGGACCTGGTGTACCCCCAGGGTGCAGTCGGGAACACCTGGACAGCTGCGCCCAGCATGGCAGCCACGGCAGCCACTGACTGCTTAAAACGTGCCGTGACCAGCGGTGCCCGGCAGGCTCCCTTAGAAGAGCATGCGACCCTTGATCTCAGGGTCGTGAGTTTGAGCCCCATGTGGGGTGCAGAAATTACTTAAATAAATAAAACCTTAAAAGGAAGAAAGAAAGAAACGTGCCTAATCCAAATCGGGAGGTGCCGTGAATGTACGATGCACACTGAATTTCAAAGACTTAGTACAGAAAGAAAAAAGAACGTGAAATATCTAAAAAGTTTCAGGGCGCCGTTGGTGAAGTGACTGCCTTTGTCTCAGGTCATGATCCCGGGGTCCTGGGGTCGAGCCCCCATGTTGGGGGGGGTCCCTGCTCAGCGGGGAGTCCGCTTCTCCCTCTGCTGCTCCCCCTGCTTATGCTCTCTCTCTCTCTTTCTCCCCTCAAATAGATTATTTTTAAAAAAATTAAAAATAAAAAAAAGTTTTTATACGGATGACATGTTGAGTTGATAATATTTTGGCTGTATTAAGTAAAATATATTAAATGTCACCTGTTTCTTCTTATAAACGTGGCCACTGGAAACTTTAAAATGTGGTGTGCTTATGGTGCCTTGCCTTCTGTTTCTGCTGGGGGATTCGGTGGGCGGCTGTGCAGGCGTCAGGCTGTTCCTCTAGATGCTGTGTGTGCCAAGCGGTCAAGAACTCTGAGCAGGCCCCAGAGTGGGGGAAGGGCCTCTGCGTTGGAAAAGCGCCCCCCGGGCGGGGGGTCTTGTCAGGTGCAGGGATTCCCCCTCCTGTGCTCTTGGAGACCCCCATCCGGAGGGCGAGGAGCGGGGAACGTGCGGAAAGCACCCAGGCCACCTCCAGGGCCAGTGGTCCGCAGGGGTGTAGGGAGGGGAGGAGGTAGCGCAGGGAGTGGCCTCGGGCAGCTGGCCGGTTGCCCACGTGGTGCCCAGGAAGGGGTGGTGGGCCCTGGGGGACAAGGCTAGGTGAGAGGCAGGGAAGGAGGTTCCAAGGGGAGCGCTGGGAAGGAAGAGCCCTGTCCACAGGACAGGTGTAGAGTGGAGATGGCATCTCCAAGGTTCCGTGTCAGCCTTGACACCCGGCATGACAGGAGTCCCTCCTGGCGTCGTTTGGTGATGGTTGTTGGAGCTGTCCTTCAGGGCCCGGCGACAAGGGTCCAGCAGGGTGGGCAGGGGGTGGCTGGCGGGGCTCGGCCCTCCCTAATTCCCTGTCCTAGGAAACCACCTCCTTGGAGGAAAGAGAGTGGCCAGTCTTCCTCCTTCCGGACGTGATGTCCGTCATCTCTTGTCTTAGTTCTTGTGACTAGAGGTGATCATGTTCATTTCACAGGTGGGGAGGGGCAGGTCCCACAGGGTTGGGTAACGAGCCGAGGCTGATTTCAGGGAGGGGGGCCTGGATTCTGGTGTGTGTCTCCGAGGCCCTCACCTCCGGTCCACCACCGTCCTCCCTTCCACTGGGGTGGGAACCAGGACGCCGGATGCCCAGTCCCTCCCCTGGATGCTCCCTGTGTTTGGCCCGGGGGCCCAGACACCCACGGCAGCGGCTCTGCGCTCTGTGTGGGGTGGGGAAGGGAGCAGGAGGGCAGCCCCCTGAGGCCATTATGGCAAACTGGGAGACTTGGGAGGCCGCGGGGAGGAAATTGGCCTCTGGAGCGCGGAGTGGCCAGGTTGGCCCCACTCGTGGCTGCTACTAGGGGGAGCTGGCTTCTGAGGAACTGGAAGGAGGACCAACTGGACGTGGTCAGTCGGCCAGTGTGGCCAGTGGGGTGGGTGCTTGGGGCCTCACCCACCAGCCATGTGGTGGGGGGGGTGTGCGCATGGGGAAGGAGAGCGTGCATCGGAGCGGGGCCTGGGCCAGAGTTACTCCTCCAGAGAGTGGGAGGATGGACGGCCCTAGGCCAGCCTGCTCAGGTGTCACTAAGGGCTCCTTTGCACTTGAACTTCCTCCCTCCCGGCCTCTGCAAATTCCCCAAACCAGCGGGAACTTTCTCCTAGTCGGGAGTAGGCCTGGGGCTGCCTTGGCCACGCCTGTGCCTGGGAGTGACTCATCAGGGTCAGAGGTCGTGGCACAGGATGGGTCTGGCAGATCCCAGCGCCCAGGCCCAGCCCCAAACAGCGGGGCTCCCAAGCTCCTCCCTCTGGGGACCACCTAGCCCATCCCCCTCAGGGTCCCAGCACATCACCGGGGTCTGCAGGGAGGGTGACTCATCGCCCGGGGCCCTGAGGGCTGTAGGAGCTGCCGCCCGAATCGGAGTCCTTAGGCTCCAGGAAGAAGAAGGAGCTCAGGGTGAGCTGGCACCACCCCCATCTCCCTAGCCTCTACCCCGGTCCCCCTTCTGCTGCTTCTCCCTTGGGGGTGTTTCCACCACAGTAGCCCTAGGCAGTGGACGGCACACAGGGCTGGCTGTGCTCCGGCCCCCGACGCCCGGACTCCGGGACAACCCCGGCTTTGGTTCTTGACGGCTTTCCTGGGGAGGTCTGCCGACCCGGGGCGGGGGGAGGCCTGCCCGCTGGGCTGGGCATGTCATCTGAGCTGGCCGGGGTCAGGGTCCACTTGGGGCTCACCTGGCAGAGGGGGGAGTGCTGGGCGGGGCGGCAGTGAGAGAGGGTGCCCCCCGGGGCAGCGCCAGATTCCCGGCACCAGCCTGCACTCCCGTCCCGCCTCACCCAGGCAGGAGGACAGTTTGGGAGGAGAGGACTGGAGGCTTTGCCGGCGCACTGACTTCTGGCCAGGGCAGTTGGACCGGGCGTCCAGGTGAGAGCCTCCTTCCCTCTCTCCTACCCGGCGGCCGGAGCGCTTTCCTTTTGGGGGTGACTCTGAGGCCGGCTGGGGAGCCTGGCGTTTCTCATGTCCGGGATGCACCCCGCACATCCCGGTTGGTGTCAGGCCTTCAGCCAGGCACCCCTGGTCTCCTCTGGCGGCCCCCCCCTCCACTCCCCTCGCCCTGCCCCCGAGCCTCCGTTCTCAGGCGGTCCCTCCTACCTCTGCCCGCGCTCTGGGAGGCTCCTTGTTCCGCGGCCACAAAGCCCCTTTGATCCTCTGCTCGGCTCGGAGCCATGTGACCTGGTGGGCGGGCCGCGCTCTCTGCCGGCGGCCGGCGCAGCCCGACTCAGCTGCTGGGGTGAGTCCTCCGCTCCCTTTGTTCCTTGCAGCCTCGCACCGGTGGCGGGGGGCCCTCAGGTGGTGCAGCCGCGCCGTGGCCCTCCGAGGGCGCGGCGGCGGGGCTGGGAACGGCGCCTCCCCGGGGCGACCCCCTGCCCCTCCCCCCCGGGCCCGGCCCCCCCCCCCCCCCCGCCGGCAGGACAGCCCTGGGTCCCCGGGAGAGGGGCGGCGGGAGCTCGGTCTCCACGCGGGGCCCAGATTTTCGGCCGCGGAGCAGAAGAAAAGGGCTTTGTGCGGCCACAGCTATCTCTTTGTAAATATTTGGCCAGCTAGGCTGAGTGGTTAGGTCTTTCTCGGCGGGGAGTTTCTTGGAGCCTGTTTCCCTTTCGCAAGGGGCTTCCCTGACTTCTAGGAGGCCGGGGTGGGGGGGGGCGGACTCGGATTGGCCACCGTGCCTCTTAAAACCGTTCCGCACCGATTGTCAGCCGTTGGGGCCGGCGGCCCAGAGGGCGGGCCGGAGATGGGCTTCAGCAGACGCTAGAAATGCGGGATCCGACGTGGTATTGTGCGCCGGGGAGTCGGCTGCTTCTCGTCTCTGGGTTCCGGGGAGCTGTGGGGAGGTGCGGCTTGTTCCCGGAGCGGGCAGGGGCCGGAATGCGTGCGCCCTGCCGGAGGAGGAGTGGAACAGTGCGCCGCTCCTTGTCAAGGAGCAGGGGCGAGGAAGCAGCTCCATGGGGACCTGCTATGGAAAGGGCCTTCCAGCTGAGACTCTGGGGAAGCCCCCAGACTCAAATCCCACCGCCGGCCCAGCGCATCACTTGTGCGCCAATGCTGGGAGGGCTGAGGTGCTTCAGAGCCAATGCCATTTGCCCCTGGAACTTCATCCCACATGCCGCCCCCCCCCCCAGGATCCCTCCATCCTGGTCCTCCTCCGTTTCCTCTCTGCCAGGAAATCTGCCGGGCTTTTGTCAGAGGTTTGGGGGAGCATCTCTGCTCACCAAAGAGCAGTTTGAAACTCCTTTCCTGGAGAAAAATGTGCCGTCCAGTCAGTGGGTTTCTGGCTGTAGGGACAGCACCCCAGTAGGAATTTGGTTTGGATCCCTCATGGAAAATCCTGTTTGGGGACAAGGGAGAAAAAGTCCCCATTCTCGTATAATCCCTTAGATTCCCTTATAATTTACATGTGGGTTTCCCACTTCATTCATGTTGCTTTGCCTCCATGGGTGTTTACATAAATGTCATTTCTCTTTGGCTGGCTCCCCGTGGCAACCAGGGGGCCCCTTTCCAGGAAATAGAAAGAAGAATGAGTTTGTTTAACCATTTGGGGCCAGAGGGCCAGTGTCTGCTTGAACCTCTTTGATAGGGTAGGGTTCTTGCTTCTCTCCTTTGGGTCACCTTTGGGCTAAGGTGTGACTGTGGAAGGAGACCTCTTCCGTGGCTGACCCCTCCCAGGCATTCCCACTGCCCCCGATCATTTCCGTGTTGTGGCACCTGCAACACTATTGCGTCCACTGGTGTGTGTGTGTATATTTCCGCCAGACTGCTCCACGTGGCTGGCACAGCGTCAGGGATGACGGCCAGGTCGCCGGTGTGTGGGGAGGGGCCTACTCTGTGTGGGGCACTTTGCGCTCCAGGACCCAGGAGACAGCACCCTTCTTGATGGGAAGGGGGCAGTCACAAGGCTCCACCCACCCAAGCCAAAGATAGCCCTGGTTGGGGCCCGTGGGGTCATTCCCTGAGTGCCTGGCCCACTGCCCCAAGCCTGGAGGACAGGGTTCACAGGGGCTTTCACCCCAGAAGCCCTGTACCCACTTGGGCGACCAGAGTCTTTGGGCTGACTTCCCTCCCCACCCCTCCCCACCTCCCTGGCCACATACCCTCCCCACTTCCTGTTGTGTCACTGCCTGAGCTGCCCTTGTCATTGTCAGATAGGACAGAAGCATTCCCTAGGGGCATTCACAGAGGGGAAGACCCCATCCTTAAGAGAGCGCCCCCAGCAGCCTCCAGCCATGCCCAGCTTCCTGTGTTGTCAGAGATCTCCGTGCTTTCTTAGGAAGCTGTTGGTTGACTGGCCGAGCTTCCGTTATCCCATGCCCCCTGCGCCATGAACTCTTGGGTCGGCTTTTCCGTACCACCCGAGGGTTCTGGGCACCCTCCTACTCTTCTTGGCCAAGTGCACAGGAAGAATGACTATTTCAGGGACCATGATCTCGGGATAGCCCTGCTCCCTACTCCCTGCAGCCGGTCTCTTGGGGAAGATGGTTCCAGCACAAATCACAGCCCTTGGCCGAGACTCCATTCCCATACTTCTGCCTTCCATTGACAAGCTTTGATTTGTTTATTGAGCGTCAGCCTGGTTCCTTGGACAGGTAGGGGCCTGTTCTCAGGAGCTCAGTGGAGTCTTACGAGGCCTGCCCAGGACCGCTCCTGAGGGTGGTGGGCTGTGCAGTTAGCTGTGCAGGCGAGCCTGATCTTGGAGGAGCAGGCGGGAAGGCAGGGGAGGCCCAGGTCTAATTACAGGCCCTCCAGCCCGCCCACCTCCCAGCGGGATCATTGGGAGCCTTGTTCCACAGTTGGTGGAGGGGTGGGTGGCAACATCTCACCCGTCATGGCTCGGCCCTGGGCCGGGGGTGCAGGAGTGGGGTCCAGGTGCTCCCCTCATCTCTTTCTCTGTTACCACCTCTGGGAAGCACCGGGCCTCCAGGCCTGAGGGGCAAAAGAACAGGCCTGCGAGGCCCAGGGGTTCCAAGTTCTGATTCTGACTTTGTGCAGGGGCCTGAGCTGCCACTTGCTGTCTGGGCGGGCTGTTCCCACCATCAGAGCAGAGTTGCTGCTCCGCGCTCGGGAGCTGGTTTCTGCGAGGAGGGCCTGGGCCTTGGTCTGGGGACAGCAGCCTCGCGCAGAGGGTCTGCAAGGTGAGGGTCAGCCTGTCGGCTCGCTCCCGTTGTCCCGGCTGTTTCAACCTCGACCGAGTTTTCAACGTTGGTGAATTTGGTTTGGGTTCAGTAGCTGGATCATGGCAGAAGCACCCCCAAATTTCTTGTCCCTCTCCTGAAGCTGGGGGTGAGGGGACAGCCTCTGAGATGTTGGCTCCCAAGCACCCAAGGCTGTATTTGGAACCCCAGCTCTGGGTTGGGGGTGAGTCACCGACACTGACCCCCACTTGGCCTTGGGGAAGGAGGCTCTCTGGTGCTGCTGTGGAGCTCCTTGCTGTGTCCCCCAGAGGCCTGCCAGCCCCGGCCCTGCCCTGTGAGTGCCAGGCACTGAATGCCTGGTCATCTGGATGGTCATCGGAAGAGTGTCCTTGCTGGTGTCCCCAGTGGAATGTGCACAGACCTCCCCCTGCCTCCCAGGCCCAGTTCTAGGTGCCTGTCACCAGGCCTCTGACAGCAAATAAGATTTTCCTAGCCCAGAGCAGGACGGTGAATCCACTCTCCTGCGTGGAGGACACCCCCCTCCACACCGGGGGGGGGACGTTTGTGTCCTGTCTTTCGCTAGACTGTGGACTTGCGTCGAGATGGCATTTCATCGATCTCGGTCTCCGGGTCCTGGACCTCACAGGAGCTTGCTCAGTTCACGTTTGAATGAATGCACTCTGGTCAGCATGGTGTGACTCCAGCTTTTCATCTTCTGTCCAAATACTCTGGTTTCTGTACAACTAGCTCGAGAGCCTTAACAAGAGCAGCCGTGGGTCCTGCTGTCTTCAACACAGGCTCTTCTGGAGTGTTTCCTTCAGGATCTGAATGCATTCTCCCCGGGGCAGGGGACTGGCCCAGATGACCCTGGCCCTGCTCCATGCCCTGGTTCCGGGGAAGTAGGGGACGAAGGAGAGGACCCATGCTGCCCCCCATCACTGCCTGTCCGCCGTGGGCTCCGAAGACTGAGGCTGGTGGCAGCAGCCCCACTGAGTTGGACGGGAGTGGCTGCCGGTTGTGGCTGGAGGGCC